TTAACCTCACTCTCCTCGCAACTATCCGCATGCTCACCATTAAAAGGATTGCTTTTCTTTCCGACGTCATGGGCTTGGCTTTGTCGCGACACGGTCACCGACTGTGTTTGGGGTAAGTCGAAATTTTTATTTTGGGCCTGATTTTCGTCTCCCTGACGATACTCCAGCTAATCTCCAGCCACTGCATGATCTCCGTCGACATTAAATATCCCGTGGACGACGATTTCCCCACCTTCAGCTCCCATTCACTTATTCCCCCATTTCCGTCCATCCTGCCGCTTTCTCTGCGACAGTTCCTCTGAAAACGCAGGATGTGGCCCTCGTCACTAGACCACGCACTCCCGTACTCATCGGTGTCTCCTATGACCGACACGTTCTCGCCCTTGGAGGCAAGAAAGATGACTTTGTCCGGGCACAATCCTGGTGACCCGTACATGCGATACCGCGACTCCTCGCATGATACAAACAACCGGGGAGCAGCTTTCAAAGAAACTCGCGGTCTTCAAGCTCATTCTCGTGGTCGTTTTGGGTGGCGACGAGTCAAAGTCGGAAATCATTGCATATCCCCGGCCGCAGCTGTGCCCACGATTTCACATGCGATATCTCTATCGCTGGTCGTGTTCACGCTTGGGAAGGATGAGCGCAACGGCAGATACTTCAATTTCGCCGCTTTCGCCACTTTCCTAATTTGGAAAGTCAGTCGACGAAATTTTTTTCCCTCTGAACTCATGGCCGTATACCAATAAGTGGTATGCGTTGCTCTATTCTTCGTATCAAGCTTTTCTGAGCCAGTTATAGCTGGAATAGAGGTTTTCGACAACCGCCAAAGGACGCCAATCGCGACGACTGTGGCGACTCCATGACGATAAAACTCCACGCCGCGCTGCAGGAAACCTCAAGTGATGATTACAATGGTCATAGAGCAGCTAAATGGAGGGATTAAGCGCGAATCGAGACTTTGGGGTCTGCAGGTATGTCTGTTATTCCCTGCTCCTTCGCGCTCAAAGCGTCTGACCAATCTAGGTCCCGCATAGCGTTTCGACTGACTAAACGGGTTTTCGCTGCCTCCGCAAAAACCAGCTTCTCATTCGATCACCTCCTTTCCTCCTCTTCCTCCACCAGCCCGCTAGGTGCTCGACAACAGAGTGTATTCGCTTGCAACGCGGTTATTAATACGGCTAGAGGACGCAAAAACGGCCCTTTTGACCGCTTATACTCGTGAATGGCTAGTCGGCTGGCGGATTGTGGAGATGGAATTGTGTGCTGCATGTGTTCTTGCAGCCTGAGCCACGCAATGAGGCGCACCACCATCCGTGTGTCAACTTCACTAATGTCTTGGACCTCCATACTGACTGAGTTCAAGGACCGCTTTTTCTTCCCCTGTTGGCGCCTTCGCCCCATTGCGAGATTGCAGTCATACATTTCGGCGTCGAACTGCGTTATGGTCGTCCATAGGCCTCGACAGCACGTCAGTAGACAATATGGTCATATATTCAGTTGCCAATGCTCCACGCGGGGCTGACTCGGCGTCGTCGCAGCCCGCCTGTTTGAACAGACTGTTTTGGTGAGTTAAAAACTTGTTGTTTTTTCCGTGGCACTTATTCCTGTCCAGCTCATGCTGGAGCCGTGCAGCGCGGCTTTTCAGCCGCGGGATGGCCATGCGACTGGAGCTATGACGAAGACTTGCATGTAGTTTTGGATTCCGAGCTACCTATGGCCATGCGTGCGTTAATCTCACTCTCCTCTGAACTATCTGCATGCTCATCGATGCAAAGGACGACTTCTCTTTCCGCTGCCATGGACTTCGTTTTGTCGCGACAGGGTACTCATATGTATCGGCGTCGAGCTGCCTTTTTGCTGTCTTCCAGCTATGCAGCTGATCATCGAAAACCTCCGCAACGTCTGCAACGTATACAATCGCAAAAACGGAGGTCTCAGCGACTTCGTTTGGGGTAAGTCAAAATTTTTACCATCGGCCTGTTTTTCGTCTCCCTGACAAGTCCTCCAGCTAATCTACGACCACTATATCATCTCCGACATTCAATATCAGTGATATCAGTTGAAAAAATTTAATTTTTTAACAACTTTTAAGACACGAGAATTAATTGTAGGCTAGGAAGAGCTAAAGCTAAGGGTGTAGTACTGGGTAGCATACCAGAATTAAATCGGGGATTAATCATGGGATTTATTGTCAAGTCCAACGACCAGATGTCCAAGGCCAGAATTAATCCGACAATTAATTTCGCACTGCTGCACATGGAACTGGCCCAAGTCCACCAGCTGCCTGAATTAATCCCAAGATTAATCCTGTGTCAGTGAATGAGGATTAATTCATGCTCGCATGACATTACAAATCCGGCAGCTGTGTATAGTACCACTGAGAAACATTAAGTGGCATGAAAGCAAAGGCTTTGCCACTCACCGAATAGTCATTGTTATACATTGACTTCCCAGCTTTTCGAAGCTTTGCCACAACCTCCTCTGCTTTCTTCCGTTCCCTCTCCTCGTCTTTTCTGAACATGTCAGGGAGCGACGCTTCCATTGCTGCTGTCCGTTGAGCAAATCGGCGGAACATGGCTGCTTGTTTGAATGCGTAAGCCCGCGAGCCATTCTCCATCCAGTTGCAGAGCTGGCTGTTATCGCCAACAACGTCCAAAGGAGTCGTGTCAAGGGCAGTGCTTGGCACCCAAGTTCCGGTGGCAATTGTCGTCCAGATCGATTCGTAGCGTGTGAAAGCAGTGTGTGTGCGCTCGAATTCAGCCTCGAGGATTTCAATCTCCTCCCGGGCACGGTCAACCAGTGCATGGTCACGGAACCACTGAACACGGTCAACTGAGAAGGTAATGAGCAAGAAGTGACAATGGTCAAAGCACCAAGTCACACTCACGTTCTTTCTCCCATTTCTTATTGTCCGTACCCGCTGGTTGTTGTTGCACGCCAAAACCATGGCTCTTGCTTTCGCGAATCACCTGTGCGCATGCTCAGTGCTCCCTTCCCAGTCTGATCACCACGATACAGTGGCTGCAGTGTTGGATCGTCCTCCGATAGACCCAGCTTTAGAAGTGCTTCTCGCAGCCATCGGTACCAGTCACCAGCAATCTGGACGTCGTTGCTAAGTGTTTTGAGGTAGTTTTGAGCTTGTGTATTGCTGTGTATCCCATGTACCTCCTGCTTCTTGACTTGAAGGTTCCAATTGAAAGTGCGGATAGCGGACCGCAAGGCAGCCAAAGCATCAAATGCTTGAGCGCGTCGAAGATCCAATTCAAGCTGAGCAAGCGTTGACAACTGCCATCGACTGCGGGCATCTGGTTCAAGCATTGATGGCAGAAACAGCGAGGCGGATTCCGGTTTGTCGGGGTCAACAACATCCATAACTGTGTCGAGTTGTGGGATGCGTCGGAGAAGTCGGGTTCGATAGACGGTCAGGTCTGCGAGAAGCTTTTGCCGCATGGAGTTGATAGTTGATTCGGGGCTTGCGAGAGCAATGAGCCGCGTGATCTTCTCTCTAAATTTGTCGTTAGCAGACGCAAGGGAACACAAAATAGGGAGCGTACTGGGTGACTCAGTGGTTTGACTGATATTTACAAAGTACGCTCAAGCCTTCATCATATTCGCTGTTTGTCCCAAGCGGCGGACATTCGTCGATTTTAAAATGTGGCTCATTCTTGGTCCTCACCCACGATATCCAATGTCAACACCCCCATCTCGCAACCAGCAATGGGCCCAAACCCACATCCCCTTCCCCGAACACTGGGACTTTTGCGCTCTCAATGAATCCGAGCTTCCCGGAAACCAATGGAAGACACCTCACCAGCTGAACATATACCTCGCATTGAACTCGCCAGTACAATTGGAACGGTTCGGCGAGCGTACAAACTTTGTACGTACCTTTCTTCATCTTTCTGATGCTTTCCTGAAGAGAAACAGTGTCGCCGGTACAAGGAGCATTGTGTCAGCCACCTGAAGAAGTACCCGTTAGCTGAGCCACTTCGAACCCAACTACGCCTTCGTTTCAACGAGTTTCGGGAAATGCCTGTAGTGCCGGTAACTCCAACGCCGATTCGCACTGCAAAACCCCTCTCTTGTAAGAGCATACATGCCCTTGAATACCTGTACGCATCCTGACCTGTTCATAGCTTCTCCGGCATCCAATAAGCAGCTTCCCGAGCAACTGGCTGACCCATACGATAGTGACGATTACGATCTTGCAGATGGACACCGTCAGTTATTATTTTATTCCATCCAACTTACTAATCTTGCGTTTCAAGGCCGCAAAGTTGATGTTATTCTCTTTGGCCAGCCTAACCAGTTGCCCTTGCAGCATCTCTTCAATATTCGTTCCATCACCTGTGTCGACATTGCGAAACTTGAGCGTCTGTGTAGCAAAGATCGAAAGCAAGGAAAGAGTGGCCGAATGCTGCGATTTTGTGGGAAAACAAACAACTGGGCTGTTGTTCGTAATGCCGAGAACCTATTCGAGGATGGTTCCTTGCTGATTCTGCGTCGGTCATGGATCATGGAGTCGGAATGCCTCGGGTTGGAGAACTGGCTCGTTGCGGCTCTATCATCAATTGCAAATGGTTTACAAGGTATGTTAATTCATAGACTTGGTGGATGTGCTACATACACGTTGACAGATTTGGACTTGGAATATGATTCAGATGTGGAGATTGTTGATACTGGTAAGTGCCAACCCTTTGCATCGATAGCACATCTTCACGCTCGCTGCAGTGCCGAGGCGTCATCGAGCAAGATGACTAAGAAACGCAAGCATCAATCGAGTGGTAGAATATTCGCAAAGCGAGCTCGTCATGTAAAGCAGGAGATCATCGAGATTTCGGACTAGACTAGACTTGCGCTGTATTTTCCAATTCCACTGTGACCCAATTGTGACCGTGACATTTTCCCGTTTTTGTACCCCCACCTTTTGCACTTTCCGAACGACTCGCTGCCGCCTTGCTTGCCTCTACGGCCTCTTTACATGCAACGAGTTATTCCAGATGCTGCCTATTGCCTTCCAGACGGCTTACCTCCCACCCATTCGCTGCTTTGGCCACATGTCTTGGACCGCCGTTCGCTGCTTTGGCCAGATGTCTTGGACCACCATTCAAAGCGATGCAAGGGACTGTGAGTTGCCAGCTTGGATCACTGTCTTCAGACCAGCTTAAAGCTTTGGACCAGCGCAAGGCTTTGGACTCAGCGCTGAACGACAAGATGGCCCCTTCGGCATCCCAAGCACTGTCTTAAATATCATCTCCTTCGCCTCAACCTATGCGATTCTCTCCCTTCAACACTCCATCCCACTCCTCATCATGACTACCAACGACAATGCCACTGGCGTCACCAGTTCCACACCAAAGATCGTTTGGAAAAAACAATCTGCTCACCAGTATCGCGCAGCAGGGCTCAAGGACGATCCGCATCGTGCATGGATTATCGAAAATCTTTACCCCGACTATGTCGACGCAATCAAGTCTGGCCGTATAGACGGGAAGCGTGATCAGTATGCGAAGACGACGCTTCTCCACCGCTTCGACGCGGAGTTTGACTTTACTGGGAAGAACTATAACATGGGAGACTTTGCCAATGTAAGGCGACTTCTATTCTGCTGTAAATCAAAACCAAACGCCCCACACAGACTCTTGCTACCATTTTGAGCAACCAATACGCCAACACTGACCGTAACCGTCCCGCTGCCGGCGCCGAAAGTGCCCAAAGGACTTTCTGCTCCCCGTGCCACCAACGCCAAAGCAATATTCGAGAAGCGTAACAAGGTGGCTATTACGGAGGCAGCAAACTCTGCTCGCTTGGCAGCAGCAGCGCAAGGCGGGAGCACGAAAAATGGTGTTTATTACCAATCCGAGCTTAATCGACTCTTCGCGGAGGCCACTTCAAACGAGGAATCCAAGGCTGAATTAGAGGCTGCCGCAGAAACAGAGAACGAGCTGCTTCGTAATGGGCTGACAGCGGACACCATTGCAGAGTAGGTTGTCAATTTCCGACAAATCTCTACTTAGCTGTGGCAGTAACCAAGAACACGCACCCGAAATTCTTTCTGACACGCTCAAGCATCTGCTGACGACAAAGCACTTTCAAGGTCTTGGTGACATGGTTCGGGCCACCATAAATTGGCGCTTCACCGCTTCTACTGCTTCTTTTGGCGCTGCATCGACGCATTATCTCCGCGGTTGGCGCTGCATTACGACATCTTGGCGCACCCATCAGATTGATGTCACGCGCAGATTTTCTTGACTCTGGACCACCATCATCAACTGGTTCCCTGCCTCAACGGAAACACTGACACTCTGTGGATGATTCTCATTCATGAAGGCATCAAACTGGACAACTACTGTCACACCTCTGCTGGTGACGACTCCAACGGCTCTCCGTTAGTCGTAGATTAAGACTCGCAGTGTGCTGGCTGGCAGGCCTCCGCTTCGAGAGCTTCCTCGCGGCCTGTTTCGGCTGAAATTTAACTCTATCATGGTCTTGTGGCAGCGTGACCGCCACGACTGTTGTCTCTGCCACTGTGCTCGGCCACTACACTTCAATCTTGGCTCCAGAGGTCTTGCGCAAATCGGAATTGGCGCCAACCGCATACCTGACCCGGTACCGCGGTAATGCATCCAAGCGTGTGCAGCCGGTGGCACCGTCCAGTAGGAGGACTTCTGCCCACGGCTTCTCATCAGCAGTGCGCATACATCCATAACCAGTCATTTTTGTGCCGACTGCTGACTCTGCAGACGCAATCACGCTCCCCAGCTTCTACACACTCAACCCGCATGTCAATGACGCGTGCGCGAATCTGGTTACCGGGGGCGTCGTCCCTTCTTGCCGCTGATGCCAGTGGCAGTGACGAATACCAAGGTATGTCTCCCTCTTGCGCGCCGTACGAGTAGCGGGTGCTGACCATGCATGGGTAGTGCTTCCGCTCATCTCGCCGGGCAAGACCCAAACATGTGTTCCGACTAGTATAGCGTATCTATTTGATAAGGCTTCAGCGCACCGGGCTCCTGGGCTGTCCGTGTTTCGCGCAGCAGCTGAATCTGACTCCATCGATGGACATGAATGCTGCAAAGATACCTCAGGCTTTATCGCTTACAACCGACAACCGGCGTACTAAACACTTGGCGGCAACCCAAATGATCATTGGGAACCTGCGCGAAATGCTGCGTCGCGTGAATATCGGGGCCGTTCCACATCTTCGCCGCTCAGCATGCTTTCGAGCATCCTTTCAGCGTACGCCTGCGGGCATAGCTCGAGAGTATCAGTATGCTGGGTGAGATTGTTGCCTGGGCCGTCCTGGTGCACCACGACTTGGGCCGCAGTGTAACCGGCGGCGCTCCTATGGACAATGGCGAGGTCAGCATTGGCTTTGGCGGGGCCATCCACGACTGTCTCGTCGAGTTCAACGTTGACAGCGTCACGGAAGACCTGGACGGTGTCCCCGGCCGTCGCTCGTGGCCTGTTGCTCGAACAGCGTGAGCCACCGTTTGGCGCGGTGGAGAGGGTACTCTGCGATGAACGACTGGTACTGGGTGCGCGCGGCACAGTTTCAGGACGCATGGAGGTGGGATGGGGATTCGGGCAGTCTGCGGGGACTGGACCGTGGCATTCCAGTCCTCCAGGTGTGAGGACGCGACAGCGTGAGCTGTCGTTCCGCGTTTAGCGGCCAGCGAGCCCCGGTGGCGCCCTCACGTCTGGACGAACGCTAATCGTGGAATTCCGACTTGGATCCGGGGCCGGGCACCCAGCCTGTTTCCTCAGCGGCTTCTTGCGTGAAGTTCAGAGCTAGGCATCAGTGTAGTAACTACCAATAGTATTAACTGTCAATGGTCAGTTGCAGCACCCCAGTCAAGCCTTACTAGTAACGCCGTGCACTGACAAAATGTTGGCGCTGCGCCACAGAATGTTGGCGCAGCAACATGTGATACTGGCGCTTCAGTCACGTCATGCTGGCGCTGCAGTTCCGTCGCATTGGCGCTGCTGTGACGCTGCATTGGCGCTGCGCGTCACACGCTTGACGCTACATGTCACACATCTGGCGCTGCAGGGTGACATGTAGGTCACACTTTGGCGCTGCAGTGTTACAATGCACCAAGTGCAAAATTTATGACAAGGAGGAAATGTGCTAGATACATAGTATGAGACCTAGTAGATAGTTTCCTCACAGGCTCTAACATAGATTGCTCATAATAAGCCCCATAATTCAATTCTAAGTCAACGAAGGAAAGGGGATTTTGTTGAATTCTGTCATTATTACACTGTATATTGAGGTGCAAACCACATGTAGCTATGCTAGCTAAGCAGTTTTATATATCTGACCCACTAATTCAGTGGTAAAGAAAGAGGTTGGCACATTTGCGTCCACTCATTTCACATCAGTCCTCCTTGATGTGAGCAACATATTACACTGTCACTATCTGTCACAGCCTTGGCGCTTCACACGTCACAAGTGGCGCTCTGAGCGTGACAGATTGGCGCTTCCAGCGGTGAAGCGCCAATTTCTGGTGGCCCACATGGTTCTGTTCATTCGTGGTGGATACCTCAAAACGGGCACAGTCCACTCATTCTGGTGCGTTGCATCGAGTTTCCATTTCATAACTGAGTATATCCAGCTTCACGATTGGACCCAGCACAACAGTAGAGCCGTTTGCCCCATCGGAAGAAGACACTAATGTGACCGAGTTCAATGGCCTGGTCCGTTGCACATTCAATGGTTCGTAGTACTGTAGCACTGCTGATCATTGAATTCTAATCATATCCACAGCCGACTCACCTCTTCAACTCCAGGTCGACGCAAATAACAAAATCATGCTACCGGATGTTAAGGTCAACAAGACGGATGTTGTAGACCTTCGTCGGCTGTTGAAGGAGTACGCAGCGCGGCAAGGGTGAGCAGTTCCAACCCGGCCTGCATTCCACTGACAACCTCCAGGTCGTGATGATTTGCAACGAACATTTACAATTGAAGACGGCGACAAGTCGATCAATATTGACGATGCCAAAGCTCAACTAATCCGACGGAAGTACAAGCAGATTTTGAAAGAGCAACATTCCGGAGCTGGTACTAGCACCAAGGGTTCCGCAGATACTGCTTTGTTGCCTCCTGCGACGCCACCTCCCGTTACGCCACCTCCCCGTTACGCCGCCTCCCGTTACTCCGCCTCCCATTACTCCGCCTCTCGTGGCCAGGCGTACCTGGGGATTCCATCAATCAAATTACAGTTGTAAGAGAGATGCCATGATGCATCAAGGTCTCTCGCACCGACCTGCTCTGATGCATCATGGCATCTCTCTGAAGCCATCCCAACCATGCTGTCACCCACGCGACCGCCCCCGCCTTCCCGCCCATCGGCTCCCGCTTGCCCACTTCCCGCCTCCTCCGCTGATGTCAATCTCTGAGGGCCGGCACCCCGCCGATGCGTGGATGCCCGGATGCCAGGATGCCCACCCGCCGCTCTGCCCACCCGCCGCTCTGCTTGCCCGCCGCTCTGCTTGCCCGCCGCTTGACCTCACTGGTGACTTGCCTGCCCGCTTGGACATGCCACATCATGGGTATCGGTTAGCGCTGCGCCGCTTGACGAGCCTAGCTTACCGCCCTCCAGGGTTAACGGGTCGCCTTAGGATAAGTACTCATTGCGGCGATGCGCCCGTGCTGGTCCTATGGCGCACCCACGCTGCCTAGCAGATGCTTGGCAATTAGGTGCCGTGCTATTTTCGACCATTGCCGGTGTCAATATTGTTGAAGATCTACAGATTTGCAACGGGCAAAAATATTTCGCCGCTTCTGGGGTGGGCGGCTCGGGGCGGCTGGTGGGCGGCTCCACCAAAGTTCTGTAGACAATATCTTTGTAAGTACTTCACATGATAACGACATTCCCGGGGTGTTCGATAGCCCCCGACGAGCCCTTTCGAACCGCTATTGAGCGGCTCGAACGGTGGCTTCGTTGTCGAGCATTGCCCTTCGACTTTTTGGGTGGGCGGCTTGGACGCGGCGGTGGGCGGCTTTTTGCCTGAATTTCGCCGCCCTCTTTTTCGTGGTGGGCGGCTGGTGGCAGTGTTGCCGCGGCTGTGGGCGGCTCTCGCACAAGTGGAAGCGGCGCTCGTGTGACAGAGGGCGGCTCTCAACCAAGCGAGGAGGGCGGGCCTGGGCGGCGATGAATATGGCCGCCCACCCTAGTCAGCGGCAGCTGCGGCGCCGCTCTCTTCGATCAACATCACTCCTCGTCACCACAAGGCCGTCGCCTTCGTCGCTGGCCACTTCTCCGCGTCGTGAACGCATGTTTGCGTTGCCCGCGCCGTCGTCGTCGTCGCCATCAACATTCGCCGGCGGCGTCGACGCTGACAGATGATCAGTGATTGACATCTCTGCATCTTGTCTTTGCTCCACCACCACGACTTGGCCAACATCCTCCATGGCGACTGTCGGACGACAACGACGCCGGCCCGCATGCTCAAATTGGGCAGCGCGCAGCTTTCCCGGCCTTCAGCACCACTAGTATGGCTTCCGCGCCCGCCGCCGTCTTCGCAGCGCCACGCTTGTCCTCATTGCAGACGGCTCAGTGAGCGGCTCGGCGAGCTAACATTCTAGGTTGAGGGCGACGATGTAGCGTCGCCGCTATGCTGCCAAGTCTCTCGTGCATCACCTACTTGCGGCTTCTTGTTGCAACAACGCTAAGCTGCTTGCATTAGACTGCGCGGACGTCAAGCTGTGTTCGAGTCCGAGCCCCGCCACCCCGCGGCATCACCCATCTGGATCGGCATGCCAAATTGCTTTGCACGAAACCGACGGTAGCTGCGGCGCTATTATCTGGTTTGCTTCGCGCCGCCCACTGCACCGCCTACTTGGTTAAGGACTCCGAGTGAGCAGCGTAGCTATTCACACAGAATGCCTGGGTGTCGAGCATCATCGCACATGCCAGGCTGATGTCTTCACAGGACTTGAGCAGCATATCCAACGACGACCCTGGTGCTCTCACCTAAT